AGTTTCGACAAAAGTACGGGGCTAGTATAATTTTCGTTTCGTTTCTTTTCTGAATTGTTATTGACGTTATCGGTCTCTCATTTACGGCACAATTCGCCACAAATAAAGCACAGTACGGCGCTAGAAAAGAAATACCGAAAATATGAAAAGTACGGGCTATCGAAAATTTTGTTTCTGTTCTGTTTTCTTTGGTACGCTTTGACTTACAGAGTTGCGGTTTACGGCACAAGCGTGGCACGATGTAGCACAATTGAAAAAAATGAAAAATTCGAAAAGCGCGAGGCTAACATCGCACACGTGAAGTTACTTCGGTTCTAGAATTCCCGGATTCGATTTACGACGATTTTCTCTCTGAAAAAAATCGATTACCCGGCGTGAGTTTCGATTACTAACGTCACCGTGCGAAAACAACGTCGCGAAACGCGTGTCCAAGCGGTTGCAGTCCCGCTGCGCGGCGAGCGCAGTTTATTTGGATTCGAACAACGCGATTACCACTTGTATGCAGTGGAATTTTAATGCGACTCCCCTTGCGCTACAAGCGATTTAACGACTCATCCTCGTGCGTTGAAAGAGACACGTGGCCCGTAGATATATTGTATTTAACGTGTTCGCTGCTCCTTCTCGGAACGGAGAAAGAGAGAGACGGACAAGGGTCACGGTATCGTAAATAAGGTGATCGAAGCGGAGCAGAATTTTGCTGCGAAAATTCCAATAAACACATCGGAACGTGCTCCAAAGGTTGAGCAGCAAAAAGAAACGATTATTATTCCCGTGCGACGAGTGTTCGAACCCGGTTTCCTCGAACAGGAAGGAAACAACGTCCGTACGAAAAACAATTATTCTATGGTCTCGACTTATTTTTCACCGAGGAATCGCTTCCTGGTCGGATGGGATTACGAATCCCACCGCATCCTGTGTATTCGACTGAAACGTACACAACGACGTATCTGAGGAAACCTCCAACGCGTTTCGGTTGTTTTGTTGTTGTTGTTAATTCGCCGAGCGGCGGTACTTTGTTCGGAAGTTACGCTTGGATTAATCGATTAGGTTGAATGGAAGATATCGGAGAAAATCATTCAAATGATTTGGAATTTCGACACGAATTTCTCGGTTGCGGCTGAGACGACTTAATAATAGTCTTTCGACCGAGTAAATACACGCTCAGCTTTGTTCCAGTATGTAGCAAGCATGGTGGCACTCGAAATTGCGCAATGGCGTAATCGCGTACACGCTGTCTTTGAACAGCTGCTGGCATGGTGAAATTAAAAACCTTGAACCATGGTCACTCGCGTCTCGGTGAATTTGAATAGTAGAGCTAACTCGCAAAGTATCTGATATTTTCAGTTATTCTTAAAACGGTTCGTTCTGAACTGAATTTGGGAGGTGTTGAGAGTACAGTGGGTGTAAAAAGTATTCGTACACCGATCAATAAAAAACAACAACAACAACAGCAACAGCAACAGCAACAGCAACAGCAACAGAAACAACTTTGTCAACTTATTTTTTATAAACAATGACAATCCAAATATTCTCGGAAATCTCTAGAATAGACAGATTATAAAAAGGATAGCTATTTATGTAAGTTGCGAAATTAACAAGAGAAAACCAATTAATCGATAGAAAAGTTGAAGCAATAAGTATTCGCACAACTGTTTAATTCTTAAAACTTGATTTAAAAAGAAAAAAGAAAAGAAGGAATTTACATTAATTTATAAGTATACGTGTAATACTTCCTTCGTGGGATTATCTTTTGATTTAATAATTGTTGTAACTTTTCTAAGCATTAAATTAACTAAATTATTAGTTGTTCTCTATTAGAACCTTTTTTTTTTTTTTTTAAAGTACTTTAATGGAAATTTGATGTTTTCTAGTTCGTACGAAGCAATAAATTTAATGCGTTTACTTTACAAACTCTACTGTAAATGATCGTAAGATAATTTTGTACGTCATTAGAATCGTACAAATACTTATTGCTTCTATACTTTTACCCACTTCTCGCACTTTTTTTTTGTTCATTTCACAAATTATATTAACTAGTAAATGTTTCGACTATATCTGTCTTAGAGACTTCCGAGAATATGTAAAAATATCATTGATTACAAAAAAAAAAGTTAAGAAACTACAATTTTCACACAAAATTTTTTTTTAGGAGAATTGATCGTTGTACGAATACATTCTACACCCACTGTACATGGTCCATTGCACGCCAAATCGGACGGTTTACAAAATTGTTGTTTTTGATTTTCTTAAACTTTTGGTATTTTGTAGTATCCCTCAAAAGAGGCTTCCTGGTATATTTTGAAACTTCTTTTTATCGCTGCTTCAAAAAATATCGAATTTAAAAAAAAAAGACGCCCTTTCTTTGTTTCTTGCTCATAACTTTCTTAATAATGGTCGAGATTCAATTTTCTCTTTTTCAAAATTTTCGTTCTCAGATGGCCTTTGCAAAAAAAAAAGAAAGAAAAGAAATACAAAAAAGTATTCAAAGTGTTTTTAAAACTGTGCGTATCTCTCGATTTTCTATTTTAAACCGCTTTTAAATCCCTACCCAGAGCAACGAAAAAATATCGAAATCAATTTACAATAATAGAAAAACATGTTGGGAACGAATTACCCTGATTTACGGAGCGAAGGTTAAATTCGAAATAAAATAAAATTGTACCCGTTCGAAATTCTCTCTGTGCGCAAATATTAGGCTGTCTGGAAAGTCCATGCCGATTTTTAGTAGGCGGTACAGGTCTGAATATATCCGAACGGCTGAAAACAAATAACATATGTACGTTCCTTAACAGGTGGAAAAGTTGTGGAACAAAATGCTACATATATAATTCAATAAATATACATCAACATTCAAATACGTCTTTGAATTTTTCTTAAAAATAGGCATGAACTTTCCGGAACAACCTAATAGAATCGTCGCATTTAGAAGATATTTTGGGTTCCGAATGAGCTGTCCTACACGGAATCGTAACGGGGGGTCGATAGTTTCCTAAATAAGAAAATAACGATCTAGGTAGTGTACCCGTGCTTCCTGCGTTTACCTGAATGGGGTTCCAACGTGACTCTACACGCGGCCACAGCGTGACTCATTATTCCCTGTAGATAGCACGGTGTTTATACCGAAACACGTTTAACCTTTGTATCTAGCCACGTTGCCCAACGGGGACACGAAAATTCGTCACGTTCACGGTTGGCGTCGAACGTACTCGGCTCAGCTTATGAGTAATTAGCTCTGACCGCTTTACGGCGCTAGGTTTTCTGCTAAACAAGGAACACTGGGTACATTGTCCACGATTACTTTTCGAATCCATTGTTCCCTGATACCCAAATAAAGTAATTCCGCCAAACAATGAGCGAATAGCCATTTTCAAGTCTAAACTTCGCTTCGAAGGTTCGAGAAATGTATTTTCCCGTAGAGTGTGTATTCTCCCTAGATTGCAGTTATACAGGGTGCCCAAAAAATGTCGGAGGTGATTCGGAGGGGTAATTTGAAACAACTTTTTCCTTAGCGAAAATGTTCTCCGACGCTTCGTTAGGGAGATATTAAGAGAAGAACCCGGACCAATCGGAGCGCGAGTAGTCTACGCCACTGCGGGCGTTCCAACGCTCTGATTGGTCCCAGGTTTTTCGTTAATATCTCCTTAACGAAGCCTCGGACAACATTTTCGCTAAGGAAAAAGTTGTTTCAAATTACCCGAACCACCTCTTTGAGGGACCTCCAACATTTTTGGGACGCCCTGTATAGGTGGATAAATTAGGTCTACACCTGATAATCATTACAATACAGGATGTATGTAGGATGAATGTTGGTTGTACAGAGTACTAGATTCGAATTTTATAAATAGTCTCAGATCTAAGTCCTTCAGAGATTAACAAGTGCCTTTTTAATCATTTATGACTCTAGTTTAAGTACAAATACAGGCTCGTCTTCAATCTCCACGAAACCATCTCTAGAATGAATTTATACAGGGTGTCTCAAAAATATTGGAGGTCCTTGAAAGGTGTGATCCAGGAGGTGATTTGAAACAACTCTTTCCTTAGCGAAAATGTTCTCCGACGCTTCGTTAAGGAGATATTAAGAGAAGAACCCGGACCAATCGGAGCGCGAGTATGCCGGTGGAGCGCTAGCGGTAGCGTATGAGCGCGGCCGCCTAGCGCGTAGCCTTCGCTACCGCGGCCGCTCCAACGGTCTACGCGCGCTCTGATTGGTCCCAGGTTTTTCGTTAATATCTCCTTAACGAAGCCTCGGACAACATTTTCGCTAAGGAAAAAGTTGTTTCAAATCACCCAAACCACCCCTTTCAAGGACCTCTAACATTCTCGAGACACCCTGTATAGAACTGAGCTCCTCTTTGTCACGAAACAAGTCGAAAATGTCCAATACAAATTTTCAGTCAGACTCGTAGTTTTCGAGAAAAACGAGCTCGAATGTGGCGGAGTAGAATGCGCGGGAAACCGAGCGGTTGCGTCAGGTGCGCGCGCATACCCACCCAATTTTCGAATTCGATTTCCTCGAAAACCAAGGCCCGTTCAATAAAAACGTATTGGACATTTTCGACTCGTTTTTGAACGAAGAATCGTCTAACGTACTAAAACAATTCCGATTGACGAATTAGTTATAACTAGACCGCGGATATTGTCGCGCAAATTCGTAATTTTCATAGATAGTTTAACGAACTTGTAGCGTTTAACTTGACTGGAAAAATGCGTTGAATCTAAATTGTTAAGATTCTTATCAAGGAACTAACAAATAGTCAGTAACGTTGACGTTATTGTTACGAAGCTTCTGTATACAAGGAACACAAAATTTCCGACCGTGTATTTGCCATAAATGCATAAACATGGGCAATCTAGTAACAACGTTAACCCGGTAACGGTCCGTCCTTTAAAATTGCAATGTTAAAGTTGCTCTGTACCGTAATTGTTCTCGTGACATCGTTGTGGGTCGAATCGATCGAAAAAAAATGGTCGATTCGAAAGAAAAGCAAGCGCGTCCGTACCTCTATTGAATCTGTCCTCGTAGTCGTCGGAAACTGGCTCGCCGGAATCTCTGACGTCGAGACTGTGGATGGCCTTGGCGAGGCAGTAGCATACTTCCGATCCATGCTTCCTTTCTTCGGTGACGATCGTTTCCTCGACGGCCGCCTCGACGTCGCTCCCGTCCTCGAAGTAGCCGCTCTCGTGCTCGGGATTCTTCATGGTGGTCGGCGAGGTGCGACACTTGAGCATATCACGGTCAGCCACGCTTCTTCTCACCATAGGCGGCGTCACAGCGTAAACGCGACGACGACGGAAGTGTTAACTGACCGACCGTCGCATGGTCGTGCTTCTCGACCGATTCTCTTTCTCCCTCCGTCCTCTTCACCAGGAGATTCGATTTTCTCGTCGACGAGGCTCCGAGAACCTTGTCGATCCTTCGACACAAACAACAACGGCTCGACTCAGTATTTTGGGGATTTTTGGGCGATTTCCGTAAAGAGGTTCGGACTCTAGGCGGAAGGAATTTGGTTCGAGCGACTGCGTTTCCGCGGCGTAAAGGTCGGGTCTGACATCGTTGGCCGTTCGAGGCCACGGCTACGTTTCTCGATCGCGAGGAAGGGTGGGGGACGGTGTGGGTCACGTGGGTGGGGGCTGCTGGGTCGCTTGAACCCTTTGCACACGATAAATTTCTATAAAACCAAAAAGACTCAACTTAGAAAAGAAACATCTACGAACATTCGTGACTCAATGAATCATCGTTACAATTTGTAATTAGCTGTATTCTGATATAAGTAAAATTAAAATTGTACGTTCAAAAAGTCACCTTTTAAATTACATATGTCGCCCTGGAAGCGCCACTCGAGCGCAAAGGGTTAAAGTGGGATTTACGGTATCTTTGTTTTTTAACACGTTGACCGCTAGACTAATATACGGGCAGTATATAATAAGTGTATAATAAGTATTCGTACAGGAACCGATTCGAAGTAAAACTTCGTATATTTATTTGATTAATAAATTTTCGGGGAAGAAATAATTAACATTCCTATATATTTTAAGAGCGGAGTTTGCGCAAATGGCTTGTTTGCGGTGTAACTTTTTTTCTAAAGGGTGGACAAATGAAAATTGCGGTTGGACAAACGTGGACGAATCGTGGACAAACGAATGCAATTTGATTTTTTATCAAAATTTGCATTTGGGGGTGCCAACTTTACGAAGCTCTTAATATCCTAGTTATTAATAAAGCAATTGTCTTCGTTACTTTTTCCAATAATAAGTCGTTTATTAATGTTATTAAAGACGTATAGATTAATCAGAAAAATTTACATAAATTACAAAATAGCAATAAACAAACGAAACAATGTCACATTTTCGGCTTTGATAAAACACGGAGGAGGCATTGTAATGGTGTGGGGATGCATTTCGACTTCCAGCGTCGGCAATTTAGTTTTTATCGATGGCATCATGGTTAAGGATGCTTATTTGAATCGTTTAAAAAGCAATTTAAAACAAAGTGCAGAAAAAATGGGAATTGCTGAAGATTTTAAATTTTACCAGGATAACGATTCTAAACACAAGTCGCGGATTGTTTAAGAATTTTTATTGTATAATTGCACCAAATGCCTTCATCCACCTCCACAATCACCAGACTTTAACCCTATAGAAAACTTATGGGATAAGTTGAATCAACGGATTCGCAATACACCCGTTCGTTCCAAAGAAGAACTTGAAATTAGGCTTCAAGAAGAATGGGCATCCATTTCGACAGAATATTTAAAACAAATAATTTCTAATATGCCGAATCGATTGAGACGTATTATAAAAGAAAAGGGATTTGCAAACAAAATATTAATGTGGAACATATAATGTTTAATTTGAATTAATAAATGTTCTTTCTCGTACTGTCCGAAATATTTTTGTGAACCGAAAATGCGGTACTCTTTCGTTTGTTTATTGTTATTATGTAATTTATGTAAAATTTTTGGATTGATGTATATGTCTTTATTAACAATGTTAATAGACGATTTATTATTGGAAAAAGTAACGAAGACGATTGCTTTTTTTAATGACTACGATATCAAGCCATAAAGCTAACCATACACTGGTGTCCGAATATTTCTGGGAGTCACTGTACAGTTGGTGTAGAAAGTATTCGTACACCGATGAATTTCCAAGAAAACTGCGTAAAATTGTAACTTATTAATTTATTTTTTATAAACAATGACAATCTACATGTTCTCGGAAGTCTCTAAAATAGATAGATTACAAAAAGAATAGCTATTTGTGTAAGTTGCGAAATTAAAAAAAAAAAAATTAATCGATAGAAATATTGAAGCAATAACTATTCGGACAACTGTTTAAAAGTACTTTACTGGGAATTCGATGTTTTCTAATTCGCACGGAGCAATAAACCAATGTGTTTACGTTACAAACTCTGCTGTAAATGGTTCGTCATGGGAATCGTACAAATACTTATTGCTTTTATATTTTTATCCACTTTTCGCATCTTTTTGTTACTTTCACAAATTATATTAACTAGTAAATGTTTCGACTATATCTATCTTAGAGACTTCCGAGAATATGTAAAATATCATTGATTACAAAAAAAAAAAAGAAGTTAAAAAACTACAATTTAACACAAAAGTTTTTTTGGAGAATTGATCGGTGTACGAATACATTCTACACACACTGTATATTAAATAGTCCCGCTGCCGCGACTCTATTATTGCGGTTATACAGGGTGTCCCAAAAATGTTGGAGGTCCTTGAAAAGGGTGGTTCAGGGGGTGATTTGAAACAACTTTTTCCTTAGCGAAATTGTTGTCTGAGGCATCGTTGAGGAGATATTAACGGAAAACACTGACCAATCAGAGCGCGCGGATACCGTTGGAGCGGCCGCGATAGCGATGGCTACGCGCTAGGTAGCCGCTCTCGTACGCGAACAAGTGACTCGACGTGCTACGAAGGATATTGACGCGGCCGCTCAGCGCGTAGCCTTCGCTACCGCGGCCGCTCCAACGGTATCCGCGCGCTCTGATTGGTCGGTTTTTTTTTTATTAATATCTACTTAACGAAGCTCCATCCGACATTTTTGCAAAGGAAAAAGTTGTTTCAAATCACCTCCCGAACCACCCTTTTCAAGATGTTACAACATTTTTGGGACACCCTGTATATCTCGACGATAACTCGTTTAAAGTCGAAAAATGCGAAAACAACCGGTTACGGAATTCTGTGTACGCGAGTGTTTGTACGCACCGCACGTTATCTCCTGTTTTGCTTTGTATCTCGGCAGCGGTTTATCGAAAAAAAACGCGAAATACGGCGTCGCGTTGAATTTTTGTTGAAATTTTCGAAAACAAGTTTACTAGTCGGGATAAGTAAATTAGCAAGTAAATTGTTGACCGAGCCGAGTTCCGATAGGTTACTTTGTTTTCGATGCGCAGTGGGTAAAACGTGCATCAAAAGTCGTGTCGCAATCCCCTTTCTTTGGTTATGCAGTCGTGTTCCAATTCCTCCGCCGAGTCAGGCAAAAGTGTCGGGTCGAACGAAACGGATTGGCATCGTTATCCTACTGACACACTTAAGTCGCGTACCTTGTACGGAGAGCACAGCCTCGGCCTTGGCCACCTTCGCGAATATCCGATCCGTCTCGCCTCGCTTCGGGAAGAACAGCCAGGAAAACGCGCACGATTCCCCCACGGAACAGCGTGCCACGTGTTCCCGTGCCAGGAGCGTGTCCCTTTTCGACCGAAACGGAGCAAAGGGCTTCGCGTTGGTATTTATTTTTAAATGCTCGATAAGACACCGCGTTCTATCCCCGCCGTCGCGCTAAACGGAAGTTTCCACTAGGTGTCAGCGTCGGTCAAAATACGATCCACGATCGTAGGGATAATTATCACTGGCCGACTACCGAACCGCTACCGAGCATATGGTTTCGTCGTGATCGTTAACGGATCTCTCGCACGGCGCAGAAACGGTGCACATGGAAACACGCGGTGTCCAGGTTCTTCTTTTTCACGTCGGTCGTCGGTAACGCTCGTCGAAATATGGAAGCTTTTCGAAAAGTCGTTTCGCGACGGGGTCCGTTCCACTTTCACTTCGGCGAAGCACGTTGCACAGCCGCAGACACGTCGGGAACGGTGTGTTTTCGATGCGTACGTAACGAGACGGGAGACATATGCGCGCACCAAGGAACCGTTGCGTTGTATACGCGCATACACACCGTGGTACGAGGCGCGCGATTCATAGACGCGATGCGCACCGGCCCGAGTCTCGCAGTCGACTGACGCCCGCCTCCCACTACGGGGCCGACGAGTCACCCTTCACCGGCGACTAACAGCTGATTTGGAAAACACCGAGACCCGCCCACTCACGGATCAACCGGCCGCGGTGCCCCGAGCTGTTGCGTAATAACGGCTAATCCTCTTTTCCCGATTCCACGGAAATCGAATTAACTCCGTTGGTGCATACCGACCGATAAAAAGAGACGTGCTTCCAAGTAGGATTCGGGTTACTCGGGGAATACTTTTATTTATAAATAGACCGCGCAAGAAACTACGAAATGCGATAGGAAATAAACATTGCAAGTAACATTCATATTATATTGAGTTGTCTGGAAAGTCCATGCCGAATTTTTATAGGTGGTGCAGGTCTGAATATGTCGAAATTGCTGAAAACAAATAATATACAGGGTGTCCTAAAAATGTTGGAGGTCCTTGAAAAGGGTGATTCAGGGGGTGATTTGAAACAACTTTTTTCTTAGCGAAAATGTTGTTCGAGGTTTCGTTAAGGAGATATTAAGCGAAAACCCCGACCAATCAGAGCGCGAGTATGCCGGTTGAGCGTAGGCTACGCGCTAGGCGGCCGCGCTCATACGCTACCGCGGCCGCTCCAACGGCATCCTCGCACTCTGGTTGGTCAGTGTTTTCCGTTAATATCACCTCAACGAAGCCTCGGACAATATTTTCGCTAAGGAAAAACTTGTTTCAAATCACCTCCCGAATCACCCCTTTCAAGGTGTTACAACATTTTTGGGACACCCTGTATTCCTTGGGTCGTATACGAAGAGAATCCGTACATTATGAATCGTAAATATCCGCGTCCCCTTCGAAACGCGTTCCCCTACTAAGAGTTGTAACTTAAGTGGGTACACAATGTCGACTCGCGTGATAAAGACAAAGAGAGAGTATATCAGTTGAGCAACACCGAAGAGAGTTTGGAGTACCATGGTGTAGGCATGCGCCTTCAAGGAACGAGAGCGATGCTTATGATTCATGATTGTAGATACGCGATTGTAGATAGAGCCCAACATCGTTCTATTATTAATTAATTACTATTGATTATTATCACTATTCATGGCTGAGTAGACCTGTGTAACGCGTCGATAACTCGAGATGCAGTCGACGCGAATAAGTAGGTTGTGGTACGCGCTTAAATTTTTATCGACGTATGGATGGATCGATCGTCGATAAACGGAACGTCGATTTGATCGATAAAACAGTGCTTCGCTGTTGGTCACGAGCGCGATGCGCACATAGATGGAAGCGTAAACATAGGCGTAATGCTTTATTTTTAAATATATCGATGCGTTCGTTCTTTTTATGTTGTTATTGCGAGGAATACTGTTAATTGGATGTCATACACGGATAATTGAATTAAAATAGAATCCCTGCGATACAATAACAACGTGAACTTCAGAAAGTCTTTGAACTGAAAATCCGTCGATCCAATTTCCTTGAACTATCGAGAATATTTCACAACAATTATACAACAACCGTAGTATATTTCTTTTATGAGTATATTAAAAACGATGAGCGGATTATCCTTGCCATGTACGAGGAGAATTATTTTCTTATTTGCATAAGTAAATATTTATTCGACCACCTTCAAAGAAAAGTTTACTCGAATAACAAATAATGTCTTACACAACTATCGGGTCTCCAGTAGAAGATCCTTTCCTGAAGTCCTATAAATAGGACCCTGGTACACAATTAATTAACAACAAAATGTGACTGACATTCGACGTGCAGAAGTCTAAAGATAAAAGTCAGCAGATTTATTTTAGACTGTCCTGTCTGCGTCAACAAAGGGTGATAAGCGTTTTGCTGCTATAGTTGCACGATTCTGTTTCATTAACCAATAAAACAGGACCCAGTATTACGTGCTTAAAAGGCCACCTTCTGCTTGCATACCACTAAAATTAGAAACTTATGTATGTTGTTTCTGTTCTGTGGCAACCAAACATACAAATTCTTCCTTTAGTTTCAGGAAAGACAGACTCTCACGGCCACCACGTTATTGTACAGATATTTTGGACTGACGTTGTATTTTTAGTACTTGAGAATGTCACTGACACCTTATGGTATTGCCTTTTTATTTTGAGAAGCAACCAAACAATGTCGAGCTAATGGAAAAGGTACGGAAACTCTAACATTCTACCTCGCTGCATAGATGTTAAACAGGTTAAATTCAGGTTTCTTTTCTGTATAATACAATTCAATTCAAAATTTGTGTACCTTCTCTAAATTTTATTCTAATGTAATGTAAAAGAAAATAGAATACTGTTTAGAATACTGTTCTAACATTCCTTGTAACGCACAGTTTTGTTTGTCATATGATGCAACCGAAGAATTTTTTTATTACAGAGTAGAACTATAACCTAACAAACAGCTTGGAAAATATGATCAATAAATTATTTTTCGACAAACAATTACGTGAACGATTCATTTTGTATATTTAAGAAGCATCTCGTGTGAAATTCTGAGCTACTCGATGCAACAGCAGGACCGACGATAAAGTTACCAGCGCCCAGCTGCGATTTCCAATTTAGGCCCCTTCGATCTCGCGTTACAAATTAAAAATAAATGAAATCCGAAATTCCCAATTTCTCGATCGCATCGAATATAAAACGCGTTTTATATTCGATTTTGTTACGTAACGATATAATCGGACCAATACCGAGCTACGAAGTAACGAGTCAACGTAAAGATGTATATAATCTCTATTTCAAATTTCCTTTGGCAGCTATCGCATTAAAATAAATTTTTCCTCGTTCGTTCTCGCGGATCCCGTGCAACAGTTACGCTCGCATAAAAACGAAATATTATCAACGATTCGAAACGACAATCGATTTGGCGTTATCGGAATCGAAGATAAGCGTTGATCGTCACCTGGGTAGCGTCGAGAGGTGTGAGAAAGAAAATTGCACATACCAAATGTCAAGACATGGGTGACCGTCTGTTCCGTGCTGGTATTCCCAAGGATTTCCGAGGGTGGGGGTGGCGGTGGAAGTGGCGGCTGCATGACGTTCTCCATTCCCCTCTTTGCTCGTTAAAATTTGTTGTCACTCGCGATGCAATACGGTATTCCTCAAAGAAAACACATCTCGCGAGACACACGGCTCGATGGGTCCACTTGTTCGTCGCGAAACGTGCGCGTGACCGTTCTCAACGTATCGACACGATCCCGTTGACAGGAACGATTAACGAGGTTAATTTGCGTGCACGGGGACGCTCGCTCTCCCGATCATCGACGGAATCGATATATGATCCACGAGATTCCCGTTGACATCGCGTTTTACATGATTGCTACGATTTTTGTTCCGTCCCGTGTTGACGGACGACGAAGACACGCACGTTTCGTCACTGCGCATCCGCAACGTGCAACCGAACGACACCGACTGCTTCGATTGCTGCGCCGCCACTGTCGACTGTGGTCGATCGCTTACCGACTGTAGCAATAACACGTCGCTAGAAAGCATCACACTGTATTATTATACGCAATCTTTTCGCTCGAGAAACGAACGACCGCTTCCTTCGAGAGATAATCACACGAATCCGCCAATGGCGAATCTAGACTTATCGCGGCGTGAGAATAATCACTTCGAGTGGCCCCTTCCTTTTCTCGGTCGAATATCATTTAAATGTTATTTATCGTTCTATATAAATCTCTAGATGAAATATTCGAATTGAATATGTTAAAAATATAAAAAAACCGTCAACTCTTAGGTTCTCATGTACTCGAGGGCCTGGCACGTTCGACTTTCGTGGTAGATTCGTCCCTGAAGTCGGCGCTGGAGTCACCAGTGCCGGCCATCTATGCACCGGTGCCCCGCGATCGAAGGGGCTCCAACATGATCAAGAACTAAAGAAACTCATGAAATAATGTACTCTTGCACATCGAATCAGTTATTTCTAAATGTATCAACTGTATCGAAACTTTTCTTTAGTGCCGAGCGTTCTTTCAGCAAATGAAAATTAATCAAGAATTATCTTCGGTCAGGCATGTGTGCAGAAAAATGCACTTTGTTAAATGCACTTGCTATATTAAGTATCGAAAAAGAAATTGCAAAAAATTGTAATTTTTCTGAAGTAATTAATACACTAGCAAAAACAAAATCACACATTAAATAAACATGCATTAGTAATATATACGTTCGTGTTTGTATTCTTTCTTTTTTACTTTACAAAAAATTTAGGGCCCCAAATGGTTTCTTGGACCCAGGCCCGTTTATAGAGAAGTCCGGCTCTGGCCGATACAATGACCGATTTAGGTGTTCCGCTTCTAAATTGTAAATGAAAAATAAATGGAAGCTGCACCCGTGAATTTCAAGTAATATCTAGCAGCGTACGGGATATGACAAATCGAACTTACATCATGGTTACACCGCAACCTTGTAACACTGATAAGCAAAACCCATGTAAGAATAAGGGGCATAAGAGGCACCATGAGTCGTTGCGTCATTTGCTTCTGAACGCGAAGGAGGCAAATGGTTATATGCGAAATAAATAATGCCCGTTAAAAGTAAACAGTGACTTTATTCGTAGTAACAAGTCTTTAACAATAGTAAGATGTTAATAAAAGTCATTGTCTAAGTCAGCGTCAATGAATTTATCGTAATTCTTCATAGCCTGAGTTTCTTACGCTGAATAATTAAATCGTTACCATATATTGCTTAAAATGTAGTTAGACGTTTTTTCGGTAGATTATATTCTCCTCTATCGAAAAGAAATAAGTGCGAATGACGATTTCCAATTCGATCGTTATAATCGTTACGATTAGAATTAGAGTTTCCTCGTTCGACGCTTTGGAAATCCGAAATTTTGCTAGGCGTAATACTTTGAAGAGACGAGCACTTAAATATTTCGTTGTATCGTAAACGATCGACAAACATAAGCGAGTAATTAAATCTAAAGTTCCAGAGCGAGTAATGGGATACATCGTGCCGTTTAAAAGCGATATCTCAGATAATTTGTTTCAGATGTATCTCACCACTCGTATTAACGAGTAATCTCTTATTGTTAACCTTCCTTCGGTAGAATTCCGAATATTTTCTTATAGAAACGAACTTTGAATTTCTCTACAAATGATTTCTGAACTTCTACCATTTTGGACGAAATACTGGTATCACGTCGTGATCGGTATTATTTCTTGTGTATTTTTAAAAGTACTTTACCAAGTATCGAAGAAGAGCGTCATTTCTATTAAAAACGATGAGAGTGATTCTAAAATTTTAAATAACGGTATCGAGGAGCCAGAAGGTAATAATACCCAATGTTATTGCCACCAAATTTGGATTTGTAACGCTAGACTTGTTAAAAAATGTATGCCATTTAGTATACAAAATTAATTTAAAAAGTATGTCAAATCCATTTCACTTTATCGTATGTAATAACAGGTAATCTTGATAATAATTTAATGGTTTTTAGACTCTAGCGAAGAAACATTAGGAGATAGCGAGGAACCTGCTCTACCAAAAGACTTAGAACATATTCCATACGAATATAAAAAATCCTCTGAATCAGAGATGCTCCGTAGAGCATCAGAGTTTTATAAAATAGTAGCCGCTAGAAGAACTATAAGATTTTTCAGTCCAGACCCCGTACCAAAAGAAGTCATACATGAGATAATAAAAGCTGCAGGTACAATATTACGTAATTACATTCACAGTACTGTTTATATATCTAAGTCTGTTTTAGGCACTGCGCCTAGTGGTGCACATACAGAACCATGGACATTCGTAGCGGTATCAAGCCAAAAGGTGAAAGAGCAAATACGATGTGTTGTTGAAACCGAAGAAGAAATAAATTACAAGCAAAGAATGGGAGTAAAGTGGACCACTGACTTACTTCCGTTAAAAACCAATTGGATCAAAGAATATCTGACAACTGCACCTTACTTGTTGCTAGTATTTAAGCAAACTTATGGAATTTTGCCCAACGGAAAGAAAAAAGTTCATTACTACAACGAAATAAGCACATCGATAGCATGTGGTATTCTCCTTACGGCTATACAGGTAATAATCGTTATAATACTATTATTTCTTACAGCGTGTACCTATGAATAGTATGAATCTTAATACGAGAACTTTAAAACTAGTACGCAGGTTTGGTAACTCTGACTTCTACTCCTTTAAATTGTGGACCTGCCATCCGCAACATTCTTGGACGTCCTCCTAATGAAAAGCTTGTCGTATTACTACCAGTTGGATATCCGGCAAAGGATGCTACAGTGCCTGCTCTTCGACGAAAACCTCTATCAAATATTTTAGTCGAAATTCATTGACATATACGTAATAACAAACAGTGGATTCCCGTCTAATGCTCCATCAGAATTACGTTTGCTTATGGGATAATATCAAATGAGTACACGTAATCATAGATTTATACAAATCCTATTTTTGATAAAAAAACTTATATTTTTTTTCTTGAGTATTGTTTGTTACTTATGAATATCTTACATTACACTTTCGCAAATATATATATTATTTATCGGTAATTATAGAATATAGTTTTCCTTGGTCACAACATGACTTCCGATCTTATAAAGTTATCCTAAAATGTTCAAAAGGGAAGCTAATCCCTGAAATATAGCACCCAAAGAAGTTCTATCGTTATGTATTATCTTCCTGCACTTGGAAAATTTGTCATGGCACACAATAAGACTGTCTAAAGTTAGCGATTTCAGTTTGTACAAACTAATGTTTATTCAAATTTGCATACAGTGTGTTAAAAATAAGCAATATAAAATGTAAAGTCACCACGTTTAAATCGGTTCAAACTCAAAATATTTATAGACTAATTTCTCATGACACCTAGTACACAATTAAACGTCGTGAAGCGACCCTAAAATTACTGAATAAAAAAAAAAAAAAAAAAAAAAAAAAAAAAAGAAAAGAAATACATTAATGAGTACCAAATATCACCACGGTATCTTAAATTAAGTACATTCGATATATAAAATATAAAAATACTGAACTAAGATTAAGGGGAATATAGAATATAATTTTTTTGTCTGCTGTACTGCGAGTTTGTATGTCATAGCTATACCGCTACTAATGGCTGTGTCGTTAAGTGTAAAAGCTTTAGCATCATGATACGTACAGATAAACAGACGGTGTCCTATTCGTCGCTATTTATGAAACAGATGCTATTAATATCGTTTTTTTTTCTCCCTAGATTCTAGGGCCTAGAATATCAATTTTTTCTTACTTTTGCATCTTTCGTGAATTTCTTGGATCGAACCAAGCCGATAGCGAGGAGCTAAGAGTTTATGAAAATTCAAAATCTCCGAATTTCTTTCTTTCTTTTTTTTTTTTTTTTTAAATATAATCATCAAAATTCTAAAAGCGACCAAACTTCGAATGTCAATGGCTAAAAGTAAATTGGCCTAGAACTAGGAGAGTACCATTTCGTTAGCAATTATCAAACTAACATCTAACATTTCTATAATAGTAATATCTCCGTCGATACTACCTGTCTTTCTAAAACGAATAAAAAATACATTTGTCTCGTTTCAATGAAGAAATGCAATCGTTCAACGACAATCCATTGTCAGAGTCCTTGATACTAAAGTTATTCCATTAGTTCCATTAACTTCAACGGTGAGCTTATAGAGATTGGGTTCACCTAATTGTTTCGTTTTCTTTTTTTTTTTCTTTTTTTCTCTTTAATAGAAATATTCAGACAGTCCATTAACGATATACTTTTATATACTACCGGTAAACGCTAGTTCGTTAAAATTATAAATACGCAGTTATCATACTTTTAGTTTTCTGAGATCACCAGTGCCTGAGATATCTAACGCAGCAGCATACACTACGAACAACTTCGTGAAGTTTCGTCGTTATCGTTGAAACTTAAATAAGAAAGGAAAGAAAGAAAGAAGGAAACAAAATATTACGAAAAAATAAAATAAAATAAAATAAAATAAAATAAAATAAAATAAAAATTGAATCGTTAATGCTGCCAGCTTCGTAACGAACTTCCTTAACCAACGAAATATCTTCGATAAATTGGAAGTACATCCGCGTCTACGTAATACTATAAGGAAAGTGAGCTCGTGAATACTCTCCTAATTCGAGAACGGCCGCTGCACCACAGATTTAAAATCCGTGACTTATCTACGAGACAAGTGACTTTAATCACGGTGATGAAATTCTGCTATGCACAGACGGCAAGACCAGGAGCCCTCGGGAGGAGACGCAAGAGGTGGAGACAGACAATACATGTGGTATCCACGATCACAGTCGTCACAGAACAGCAGCTGATCCTAGTTTAGTTCGCGAAACAATTAATTAGCTTGCTACGAAAATTACCTTGGCACGAGCGGTTTACTTTGTTTTTGTTTTTTAAATCGATTGTCATTTCTTTCGCGTTACCCTAGACTTGTTCGGAATTAAATTTTATGCGACTAATCGTTCAAAAAAAAATATGAATTTCAAGATGTGAAATAGAGTGGCTCCGATACTAAGTTGCAATTTTTTGGGTAAGCGTAATTTAGGTGTCGATAGAGACGGAATAGTTTCCGTGCATCTCGCTCCAACCATTTTCCCATGCTAAATGATATTATATCGAAGCGAAATGCGCCAGGTTTGCGCTGGAGACACTCGCCGTATCGAGCGCTACGCGATATGCAGATAGCAAGAGCGATCGCGCACCTTGCGCTAGCCGCTCCTGAACGGCGAATGTCTGCCGCGCATCTGCCTCGCGCACGAGCGGCCCTCGTGTTTCCCCGCGAAACCTAAAAACATACTAAAATAGAAATAAAAAGTGTGAAAATAATTGGAGCGAGCGTGGACGGACCGTTTCGTTCGTACGCGTTAAGGGGTCCCGTAAAATGGTGATAGATACTCACATCGTTGTCAGAGGTGCCACAAATGGAACAGCATTTGCATTCGATACACTGCCACCTGTACTTGCGAACAGAAACGATCATGTTCGCTGTGAATTGCAAACAAGTCGGATGCCCTATAACAAGAATGGAACACGCATATGGGACGGAACAGGATTACTTGTTTTTGGACGAGTAGAAAGGTGCTAGGACATTTATCTTGTGCCGAAGAACAGTGAACTCCAAGCTATCTCGTTTTCTATTATTTCTTTTTTTTTTCTCTCTCTCTCTCTCGCATCAGAGTACGTAAATTTTTATCTTTGGTTTTTTCAAAATTCGAACAGAAGCACTCGACAATTGAACATCAATTCTTGGCTTTGATCAATATGTAGAGAAAACAAACGCGTGCGATCGTAATTTATATGATATATATATATATATATAGAAATATATATGTAAAATGACTTTCACCCTTCCTCAGCACTAAAAACGTCCGGAATAATGATACGTTTTGTTATGTTTCCGCACAGAATGTTTTATTTTATGATATCTGCGATTTCTTTTGATGTCACCTCTTGAACATATTGTTATTTTATTTGGAATAGTAAAGGTGGTAAAGTAATAGCGGTGCGTACCTTGGAATAGTTCACGTTCTTTCTTGCGCAGCACAATATAAACGTCGCGGACCAGCACACTCTCTCACTCGCATAATCTCCAAAAATTCTCTCATTCGTTCACTTTCACGCTGTTTCCCTCGTTCACTTTTTTCTCATTCTTCTACACACGCACACAACTCATATAACGTATCACATTTCATATATATATATATACATATATATATGATATACATATGATATAATATATATATATTTATATATATTTATATATAACTAGCGTTACTTAAATACTAGATTTGTAAGCCTCATGGGTATTGCTTAATTAAAAATTGCCTAATAACAAGTCTTCGATTTTTATATAACAAGGAGGAACTATTTGCATGCTTTCGTATTTTTTCGTATTTTTCGTTTTCATCATTTTTTCTTTTTTTTTTTTTGTTTTGTTTTTGTTTCCTGCCTCTCTTATACTATACCATGTGAGTTTCTCTTACGATAAATATTTAAGAGTACCGGGAGATACGACAGCGATTCACCTTTTGAATTTATTCTCGTCGCATGGCCGCTACCGGATGGCAAATTATAACGATACTCTAAGACAAGGATGATCAACGCGATTAGTTATGGCGCACGGCCAATAGCCTCGTGCAAATTAATATCTTCCGTCGTTACGGACGAATCGAACGTTGCGGTTGGTCGTGCTCGCAACTAATCCAGTTGGTCATCTCCGGTCTATAAATCTTGCGACACCTTCTCCATTTCGTTTCTTTTGCAAAGACTGGAAAGTGTACGGGGAACGGTTAACCCTAGGACGACTTCTGAGGTCATTCGAGATTCCTGCAGAATGAAAATTTCATTAGATTCGAATCGACTCTCGCAACGATTATGATTACATCTGCAAAAGTAACCATTTACATCGAGTGAAGTGTAACGAATCGTTAATATTTTTATAAGTAATTATTTAATTTAATATTTTTATAAAAGGACAGGATGAATCTGAAATTTGGAGATCAATTATGTACGAGTACTATCTCACGTTTTGATATTTACAATTTGTTGCAACTGTACGAAGCCACCGTTGATGTTTAGAGGAAGCAAAAAAGAACAAGTTGCGAGTATTTGAACGATGCTCGCGATCCAGAAGTCCTCCGAGGGTTAAAGGACACAGAACCGAGGCGTGACGCTCGACGACCATCTAGAAAATTGTTCTGCACGGAGAACGCTGCATTCTCGGTTGATTAGACGCACCGTAAAATTAATCGCCTATCACTGTATCGCTCGTCGACGTGACGGACGTAACATGACATAACAAGGAAACCTAGCGTCGAGTACGTGCGCGTTGCAACTTGCGTCGTCTTGTGTATCCGTAAATCTATGAAAACATGTAACGTTAGCGTTTCTTTTAAAAAAAAAAAAAAGAAAAAAAAATGAATTAAATGAATCGAATAATCTCCTACCTCCACGAGACGAAAAACTCATAAGGTATCGTTACAGTGTTAGATACGACGCTCTTTAATTCTATTCGAACGATATCTTGCACGAATATCAAAGCTTGTACAAAACTAAGCTATATCGAATCTCTACTCAAGTATCTGTGACGATACATCCTTTTTCTTTCTTTCCCTCTCTCGACACGACGTATAAGTCGTACCTAACTCGAACAAAACACATGAAAAAGAATACATCTTTCACCATATACTCTATGCCAGCGCCGATCGTCTACGCTTCGGCGCACGGCGAGCGCGCGAACTTATCTTTTTTTTTCTCCTTTCCTTTTCTATTTTTTTTTGTTCCTCTAAATACGCAATAAATATTCTCTCGTCAACGGACATGACGATCCGATAGCAGAAGACATTCACTATACGTAACGCGACGAAATGATTAATGCCCAGAACGAAACGGATGATTTGAAGAGCAGCAGGTTCGGTGGAATGTGTGGAAAAAAAAAAAGAAAAAGAAGAAGAAGAAGAAGAAGAAGAAGAAGAAACAGAAGAAGAAGAAAAGGAAGAAGAAGAAACAGAAGAAGAAGAAGAAG